TTTTCTTTCTTTCCTTCTAGCAATTACTAAGCACTTAACTACGTGCCAGGTGCTATGTTAACACTTACTATGCATTATTACATGTAAATCTCAAAATATCCTGTTGTGTGCATAAACTCAGATTAGGTAAATTGTCCAAGGTCATACAGCTTACTAGGAGAAGAGTAATACTTTACTCTTTCCACTGACTAGTGGAAGAGTTAATACTTTAACACAAATCTCATTCAATTCTAAAGGATGTACCCTTAACTATGACCAAATATTGCATCTTTTGTCTTCCAAAATCCATCTTAAGGCAACTTCCCATTTGGAAAATTTATAGTGCTTTTTATAGACCATTATTAAATAATGTGTTGCCAAGTATAATTATGATTTATTTATACATATTGTTTTCTGCTATACATTGAGAAATCCAAGGGTCAGTTAAAATACATGTTCAGTAACTACTTCTTGAATAAGTAAATGAGAGTTGACGTACTCAGAATTCAGTGTTCTAATTTTAAATGCTTACATTTGAAAATATTTCACATATCTGCTGATAGTATTATATAGTGATAGAAACATACAGATATAGCAATATCTATAAGTTCCATAATAGCAGTCAACTTAGCTTTTAGAAACTCTTTTCCTAGCATTAATTTCCAGTAACTAAGGGGTGTGCAAATGTGCAACGAAAAAGAATTTTTGTAGCCAAATCATGTGTATTTATATTTTGTATGTCTAATTGATAAAATCACACATTATAGCCATTTCTGAGTATACCTAATAACTAAGAATTGAGGAGATTCAGAATTGGGTTTGGGGATATTCCTCAAAATGATTAAATCCATGCATGGGCCATAGCCATACTGAGTGGTTCACAAACATGCTCTAAAATGCAGCAGCCACTGAAGCTTCTTACAGCTGGTCAAATCTAAAATTCTTTAATTACAAGTGCCAAATGCTAATTCTTAGCCTAGTTCACTCAGATTCAGAGAGCTATCTTTCTTCAGCTGAGTCCTAGAACCTGTGGACATCTTCTCAATTGTTTGCAGATGGCAGAAGCTCAGGTAGCTACTGTGTTCATATTCATGGTCATACAAACCAATAAGGCATATATTCAATTTAAATTTAAAATGTAAGGGTAAGGAAGGCTATCATTCTAGTGATTAATATAGCCACACATGGGGGAGAAACAATTAAACTGGTACACTTTTCACTAGGGAAAAGATATTTCATGTAATCAGAAAGTTTAATTATGTCCATGTTTCTAAATAATTATTAGGGAGTAAAATTTCTTTTCTGTTCAAACCCCAATCTGTACATTATAGTTACTACTAAAAGGACGAGTCTAAAAAAAAATTAAAAAAATTTTAAAAACCATCCAGGAAGAGAGAGAACAAATAGTTAATAGACGCCATTGTCAAGGCAATATGTAACTGGTGACAGACATTTGCAAAGCAATCTGTAGAAGTCAGAAATCCAATGATAAACGCTCTGCACTCAAAATGAACTTGGGGCAAATGCAGACATGAAAACCAAGGCTTTTTTGCAAAGTGTAATAAAGCCTAATTATGAGGATACAATCATTCCAGAATAGAACAACAAAGAGCAAGAATAGGACAGTGGAGAAAGGAATGTAGGAAAGAATAAACTGAATTTGAAAAATGCACAAGGATAATAGAGACTATCAATTTATTAGGCATGTAAGTATGTCTTAATTTATTTATAACTTGCTTCAGTCCTTGGAGAATTTAAGACAGCCAAGATTTCTCTTAAGCACAAGGCAAAGATTTTCACTATTTCCGGAGAGATGATCAAATGAATATTAATACCAGAATTCCATACATATCATACATAGTTTTTGGTTATATAAATGTGTATGTTAATTGTAGACTCGACTGCCAATATTTTTTATTCTATAAGGTGAATTAAGTTATTATCAAATTATTTCATCATGTTTTAATTATACCCAAGTGTTGTCTACAGTCAGATATTTGAAATAAATAGATTATAAATTATCAAAATCCCAGTGTTAGTGCTTTTTTCTGAGACTACTACTTATTACACTAGCTCTAGGGGAGACTCAATAAACATTGCTGACTAGTAGTATTAAACTATTTTCTTTTTCTTTTTGGTTGCAAGTAAATCAAAGAACAAACCCTATCAAAAATAAATAAATTTTTAAAAAACTAAGTAATTGAGAAAGAAGTCACATTGATTATTATCAAGTCATTGAGACCATTTCACAGAATCCAAGAGACTTTTGAGTACATAATACCTAAGAAGGGCAGATACAAAGCAGCTTTAGAGGTCTAAGCAACTGAGGTTCACGTAACTTTTTCCAAACTATTCTCTCATATGATTCATTCAATATTGATGATTACCAGTATTTGGTATATCGCCATTACAAATTTCAAATTCCCATGAAAAAATTTCAACTGGTCCTGCTGGAATCAAATGTCTATGCCCTGGATCAGTCAGTCCTGGCCAGGGGCAGGCTCACATAATCTAAACATGACCACTGGGAGCACACCTCTGTGGACTGGGGGTTCTCTGCAGAGAAAGCAGATCAGTATGTGCTGCACAGCTCCTTCAGAAAATACGTATTTCACTGGGAGATATAATTACTTTTATGTAAATAGCAAAGGAAATTTATGAAACCAATAGCCCCCAGTTCTATGACAGAAATGAAAAAGAAACATCTGCTTTCTGTTCTCTCACCTGACCACAGCACTGAGAATAAGACTTTAATGCTGGCACTCTGACTTGTGATCTTCAGGAAGAGTCTTAAATGTAGTTGTTTATTTGTTCCTAAGGTTCTACAATAGAACTAGGACCTAATCTGGGATTCCCAGATCCCAAGGGGTTCAACTCCAAGGGAATAATGAAGGATGAACAATTTATAATAATTCAAAAGACAGAATCCTAGTCATGCATTTCCTTGCAACAAGACTGCACAAAGTAATAAAATGTGAAAGTTCTTATATTAATATTTTGGGCTTAAATTACCAGTATATTAAAGGATCAGAAATTCTTATTGATGTTATACATGAGTGTATTTGATTTACATAGGATTACTACCTTATTCATGTTTATATTTCTAGCAATTGGCATGGTACTAGACACAGCTGAATGAAATTACTAAATTTTGTAGCTTGAAAACAAAATTCCTGAAAACATGTATTCTATCGTATTCTCTTAAGAGAAAAGTGTTAAAGAACAATGAAGAGGAGAAATAGAAACTACCAGTCTAAGATGGTAAAATACCATTATTAATCCTCTTTACCAAGAAATCTTAGAGCTGTAAAATAATTTTTAAAAACTTACTAAAGAGAAAAATCAACATATAGGATATTCACTCATTGAAACTTAACTTCCCAGAATTTCTGCCATGTACCAGGGATTTTACTAGCTGTGGATATACCAGGACCCCAAAGAATACATTGTCTCCATGGAGAAACAGATGTAGGAATCAGTAATTATGAAATGATATCATCGGGGATACAATAAAAGAAGTGTTCTATTTATGAACAAATAATAAAATTATTAAAACACATCCTTTCTCAGTTCAAGATCAGCCTGTTCAACAGGGCAAAATCTCATATCTACCAAAAATACAAAAAAATTTAGCTGGGCTTGGTGGCATGCACCTGTAATCCCAGCTACTTGGGGAGGCCAAGGCACAAGAATCACTTGAGCTCGGGAGGCAGAGGCTGCAGTGAGCCAAGATCATGCCACTACACTCCAGCCTGGGCAACAGAGTAAAACTCTGTCTCAAAAATAAAAAACAAAAACAAAAACAGAAAAACCACTTCCTTTCTCTATCATAAGTAGTCCCTAAGCATGTACTCTCCTCTGACCATCTGCTCAAAATGTTAACATTTTTATTCTCTGAGTCTCCAGCATGTCTGGGCTCCCTCTGTACAGCAAGAATACCTCCAAAATTTAGCATCATCATCTCTCCTTCACTAAAGGTGATCCCACTTTCTCTTCCTGCCACAGATAAACAAAAACTGAGGGAAAAACTTAATCTCTTACACAATCTGAGTGAAAATCAGGTTCCACCAGGCTTACTGCTAACATAGTTGTAAGACATGCTATGTTAGTCCAGTCGTATCTTTCGGCACCCAGTACCTCAACAATAGATAAGGATATTTAGGAAGCTCCACACATTACTTTTCCATTGCCTACAAGGGGAGTCAAATGAAAATGTCCAAAAGATAACTTTCGAATTTCTTATTTCCATCACACACAAATTATTTCACGAGAGCCAAACTGTCATTTACAGTATACATAATTCCAAGAGATATCACTGTCATTTCTTTTAGGCAATCCATGTATTACAGAATATCATACATTCAGCCACTTTCTTCACACCCTTCAGAGCATAGAGTACTAGCATGAGTACATGAAAGGAGAGGTAGGATGTCTGGGATCTGTTCCCAGCGCTACAATTGATGCACTATTCTTACTCCCTTTACATTTAAATCTCCCATCTGTAGCACAAGGATAATGACATAGTACCTGTTTGTTTCTAAGGCACTGGAAAATTCTCTGGTAGAAGATATTACGCAAATGCAGAGACTATTATTACACCAGGAAGACTTGAAAATTGCAAGTTTGTGTGCTCATCACTATTAAGCAGTTGACACAGTGACAAAAGAGAAAGCATCCTTCTTCAAGGCATCTAAAATCAAATATTGCTGAATATGCAGCTATCCTGAAAAATATATGTGCAAATATATTCATTTTAATGACCTTCCAACTCTAACTCATCAATAACCCATTTAAAGTAATCCTTTCCAAGTTATCCTGACTCCGACAAAATGCATGGAATCCCTAATCACTGGTATTTTTTTATAATGCAAAGCTTTCTGAAAGGTTATTCTTTCTCCTTGCAAAATATTTGCTCTACTCCAAAATTTCAGAGAGCACTCTGGCTCATTCCACTAAGATTATTCCAAAATATAAAAACATTTATCCTTCAATCTGGCCAATCTTGGAATAATCAAACTTACAGTACAGTGGTGGACAGGCATCCAAGCAGGGGCTTCCACTGAACAATTCTGGGCTGGGCATCTGCCTTGGTTTTGCTGCAAATAAGTAAAAATGATATTATATTCAATTTATTATGTGCCAGTATGTATATATACTAGCTGACATGTTTATTATCAATGTTTATTACCTTATTTATAATCATAGCAGAGAGAGAATGCTTTGTTTGTGCAATGCTGCAGAAAACTAGGTACATAATTTCTACTCTTATCAAAGGATAAGAAATTATCCTTTTCCTTTTTTATTACTCTAAAGACTACGTTTTTGGCACCAGGCTGCCTCAGCATATGACCTTCCAGGCTTCAATACCAACCACCTGAGAACTCTTATAACCCATAGGTTGACTGTTCTCTTCCAGGCTCCTAATCAACCCTCATATATGCTGTACTCCTGTGAAATCACATGAGTCAAGGTATAGAATGACTGTTTATTTGTCTCTGTTTCCAGACTATAAGCTAGTGATGGTGATTCTCTCTAGAGTGTTTCATAGAACTCCAGAATGTTGGGTTGAAAGGGACAGATCTTAGAGGCCTTCTTATCACATCAAAAACTGAAGTGCAGAGAAATAAAACAATTTTCCCAAGGAGTCAAAAGTTTGACATTCTAAGTCATTTTCTAGGCACTTCTTTCTACAAAAGAAATTTATCTCTAGTTAACTGTTATACGTTTGTTGTAATTCCTGTAACTTTACTTCTAATGGGCTTTTAAAAATAATACAGTGCTTTACTTTCACCAACAATACTGCTCCACCCCTTTGATAACGAAAACTGATTAGTCTAAAAGGGGGGGAAGGATTTTAATAAGCCATGCTTTATCTTTTATTTCTTTCATTGTATTCTCAGAGATAATATAGGCATACTGATAATGTTAATAATCACCATTAAAAACCACAGCTGTGATTTATTGAGCAATTAAATATGCAAGGCACTATTCTGGACACATTATTACTCGTCCCCACAATAAACATAAGTAAGAGTATTATGCTCACTTTGTAGTGGAGAAAACAGAGACTTAGAGAGGTTAAGCAACTTGGCTAAAAGTCAACCTACTAGACAGCAGCATCTCTGAGATCGCAGCAAGACTCTGGCTGACTCTGGTGTCCATGTATGCTCTTTCTTTTATAAGAAGTTGCCTCTGTTATTTTAGACTGTCTCTTTAATGGGTGTTAAGGCATGTCATCATCCAATCTGATTTTGTCTAATGAATGATCGTAACATTTCTGATTTAACTGAATAAAATACTGAATTCAGTACTCCTATCACACTAAAATTTTTGTCTGTGATTTGTAAGCTTTTTAGAGCAACTTTATTTGGTTGATCTATTTTTAAGGCATCACTAAGCCCTAAAATGCTGTATGAGTGATTATGGATAAAGTCATCATAAAAATAAACTTATATTATCAATCTCCATGATCAGTTTTCTTGTTTGAAACAAAATACGATATGCAGCAGCATCAGAGTACAGAAGGTACACTGGACTTGTGTCAGATAACCACAATTTTAAGCTAATTTTGGCCATGTGCTTGCTGCCATGAAATGCTCTTGGTAGTCACACCTGTGAAACAGTGTTAGTATCTTGCCTAATTCACAGATAATAGATATAGATTCTCCTCAGATCATTATATCACAATTTGCAAGAAAGCTACTAATTAGAACACACAACATATTCACAAAATATGACGGGTGCATAAATACGGTATGTTTCAACTTCTATGGTGCTCAGCATGGGATAAAGAAAGATGGAAATGTGTGTTTCCGTTTTGTCTTCTATTATTACCTGATTTCTGACACTAAGGTCTTCTCGTAAGTGTTTTAACTAAGAATATTAACAGTGATTTTACAAGGCCAAACATAAAAGACTACTGAAGACAGATGCCTTGTGAACATAAATTATTCTTTAATCCTATTGAATGACGAGCAAAAAACATTGAAATAGAAGTTAGAACCTTGGATTTTAGTTTAGTGTTCCCATTGATCTATCTGTGGAACTTTGGAAAACTCACTTTAACACTTTAGACTACACTTTTCTCATTGGTAAAATGAGAAAGTTGTATTGGATCCATGATTCAATGTGGAGAGAGGAAGTGTCACATTTACCCAAAGATCTTTCTCAAACTGTACAGTTCCACCAATAATTTAATATTTGGTTTTCTCTACCAAAGGGATGTACCCTGCAGTTGAGATCATTTATCATTCTGATTTACTGATGAGACATCTTTTAGGGGCTTGGGAATATGAACAGGAAATGGTTATTTCCCTATGAGTTTCAGTGCTGGCAAAGATTGACAACCACTAGACTAGATGGTCTCGAAAGAGTCTTCCACTTAAGTGTGGTTATTGAAAATCCTAACCTCATGTTTTGTCTACCACTTCGTTCTACTTCTAAAGAAGACAAGATCTAATATGGGTCAAGGAACCCACCACAGTAGGTGGAGAAGGAAAGGGATTTAAAATTCTTTTTTCCTCAAAGTCTTATCTTTTTTTAACATTCAATGTGTACACTGTGGCATAGCAGAGTTTGGGCCTACCTCCTACTCAAAAGAGTAGGAGGCCACCTCCTTAGAAGCCCAGCTAGAACCAGAATAAACACTAGGGGAAAGGACACTCTCATGTCTAACTCTTAGTTAATTCTTAAGCCAAAAATCAAGGGAGAACATTAGAATTCCCTCAAGGGACAACTTAGCTCTCTAAGCAAAGATTTAAGATAGAAGTTGGAGACAAATTCCCCTAAAGATAAAGCTTTCCCTCCTCCCTTCTCTCCCATTCATCTATACAAGATGTTTATACCTGTAGATTAATGGTACGTGACTAGACCAGGATTCGGGGATTTGCAATGCTGACCATTAAAAACATGTCCTCTTAAAAGACAAAACTATCAATGGGTCTTGGTGTTTTAAAAACAAAATATGACAGGTGCATAAATAAGGTGTGTTTCAACTTCTACGGTGCTCAGCATGGGATAAAGAAAGGTAGAAATGTGTGTTTCTGTTTTGTCTTCTATTATTACCTGATTTCTGACACTAAGACAGGTTGATGTCTTCAAATCTCTTAATCTTCCTTGGTTGTCTGTTTCTCACTTTAGAATCTTGACATATTTCATTCCAGAATATTCTGAGAACATTAGCTAAATATGCTGAACAATTACACCTAAGATTGATTGTATAAATATGTAACTACAAAGAACTTGAAAAGTGACCTCAAGAACTCTAAAGATTTTCTTCTCAAACCATCCCATCCCTCCAAAGACGTAGGAATATTTTTTCATGTATCAGGGGCTTGTACACAGAGTGCTTTGGAGTTCAGAAAATGCTTATATAGACATTCATAAGACATTGGCTTATATAGACAATTCATCCTCAGAAAAAGTTGTGTGTGGCAGAGTGAGAGATGATTCATACAAATAAAATTTTGACCTAAATATTTCATTAAAATAGCATGTTCTTTTGAAAGCAGAGTAAGAGCTGAAAGGTTCTATTGTTCTACTGTTCACAGTAAAATGATCCTCATAATCAAAGGAGTCTTTTTTTTCCGGGTGGGGGTGTGGTATTGCGAAGTGTTGCATGATAGGACTGTACACATATTTGTTCATTCATTTACCCATCCCTCACTTGCCAAAATACACTCCATGAATGGTAAGTTGGGTATATAGAGAGATTTAAAATTCAGAGCTATAAAAATTTAAATAATCCGTATTCTCCAAAAGCTCCCAACTTTTGAGGAGATACAATACAATGTGCTGAGTTTAAAACAGGGTTAAACAACAGGGCCATTTATCCATTCATCCATTCATGTAGTTGGTCAACAAGCATTTATTGAGCAATTACTAAGTGCCAGTTATTGTATTAGGAATAAGGATATATCAAGACTCAGTATGTGTCTAAAAAAGTACTTATTCTAAGGAAAAAAAATAAACTAATAAAGATGCAGTTATAAAGCAATATTACTGATATGGGATAAATAAACCATTACATGACAGATCAAAAATATTCAATGCAGCCATTCTTGGGGCAGGAGTAAGAAATTAACAAGAGTAAGGGAAAATCATACAGAGGAATTGAGGCAAAAGGCGGAAGTATTTAACTCTGGCTGGGTAACTCAGGAATGTCTTTGTTGAAGAGACACTTCAGGTTTCCAACACAGTTTTAAGGAGGCGAAGGTGTAAGAAGAGGGTGTTACAGGCTAAAGGTCTCAGTGGACCATCTGATAGTGCAAAGTAAAGACATTATTGGCCTTGTCAAGAAACTTCTCAATTCTAGACCTCAGAATCCTGGGACTGAGGAGAAAGAATGATTTTATGCTATACAGAGAGCTGACTTCAGCCTTTCCCTTTATCTCTTCTTCACAAGACAAAATGGATAGCTGGGTGTGGGATAAATGAGTCCTATCAGGAAGTGGACATGGAAGGACCCAGATCAGATCCTATGAAACACACAAGAGGCCCTCCTGAGTTTAATCTTTGAACAAGCATTTCAGCTGTCTTACTCATCCCTGAGACTCTAAAGGATTTGACAGATGAAGAAAAAGAGGTCAAAATGAAGCCCAAGGAGCAGAACTAAGTGACTTTTTGCATGCAGAACTAAAATGACATGCAATAATGTGTGTGCAAATGGACTGTGAGTTGTAAAGTACTTTAGAAATGTAATGGGTAATTATAAAGCTTTAATTATTTGAAAATTATTTTTATGAGCTAATTCTTGTTATTAAAATTACTAGAGCAGTTTTTCTGACTTCTAGTCTAATATACTCGCTAGCACATCAAGAGTTAAAAAAATTTTCAAAAAATTTGAGGAAAAATGACTCCCAAAGTGCCTCCAAATCATCAATTTCATATATTTCTAAATACAGATATATAATATGTATCTATATTTGTATGTATGTGTCTACATACACATATGTTCATTATGCATCATCCACATGTGTCTATAGATACATATATACATACAAATATGATTTATGTGTGTATACATGTATTTAAAAATTTTTGGCAAAATAAAGGTTTTCATTGAATTAGTTTTCTAATTTGCCATAAAGATATGTAA